AGGAAGTGATATCAGATCACTTTATTCCAGCACTTTGTGAATGGGAATCCACACTGGAGTAGAGCAGCCTGTAGCTGCTATTGCAGCTCCTGTCCTTGACATGTACCTGGCCAGCCTTGTCCCCACTGGAACCCAGGGAAGCCACATACACTGCTAGATTTACACAGAAATGCAGAATAACCCTCCACTCATATAAATAATACGAACAGCCCACACACAATCCGCACAAACTCAACACCACTGACAATCCACATACATACACACAGCCCCACATGCAGCCTTTCACATGCAATACCCCAAACAGTCCCCACACATACACACACACTACCAAACACATTATATTTCATATCCCTCCACACGCACAATTCTACAAGCAGCCCCCATGCACAGCCTACATTCATAGGTATCATACACGATACCACAAACTACTCATGAACATATACAATATACAAAGCAACTACAGTATAAATAACACAAGCAGAATACTACAACATACACATCTCAATAAAAAAAAAAAAAAAGACCAGGACATAAAATTCCTATTTCGGCACAGTGTTGCTATAAGGTTGTCTACCCCTGACCTATGGAAACCAAAGGATGAGACACACCAAACACTAGGTTTTATACATGTTTTGCAGTAATGTTTTCATGTGGTCGCCATCTGTAATTTTCCACAAGGATTCCCAGATGAAGCAGCTTTTTGGTATTTTCTGTGGTTTGACATATCTGGTGAAGTCTGAAAGGAGGCATTCCAACTTACAGGGTGTTTCCAGGAATGGATTTATCTCGTGCCTGTAGGCACAACATTCTAAGGAACCCCCTGGCTCCCCAAACTCAAAATTAGCATAATGAATTGCCTAAAAACATACAAAAACATATTCATATTTGGTAAGTACACATGTATAAATGTAAGTATGTGCATATTTCTGCTCTGCTTGTAATGTATTGCGTTTGAATGTGTAAGTACAGTCAGTGTATGCAGCTGTGTAAATGCATACAGGGTTAAACAATTTTAGAAGTGGTTATGGTAAAGGGGGATTAAGCTTGGAGACGGGTTAATGGTAGAGTTAGATTACACGGCGTGTTTAGTATTAACGGCTTTATCAGCTTGTGAGGGGTTGTGGCATGAGGCTGTTTAGGATTATTGAGTTTAGGCTGGAGTTGGGATACATTTTGTATTGGGGTACATAAGGTGTACAGTGGGGAGCTGTTCCTGCAGCTCTGCTATTAAGGCTGACTGGACTACGGATGGCACTTCCCAAGGCTCCTGGTACTTATCACTTCCAATCAGAGTATTTAAGCTCACAAAGGCACATTATAAGTTCTGCAAATCGGTGGTCAGGCACTTGTAGGTGAAATCCGGCCCTGGTTATTCTCTGCATATGCTAATGGGTGTGGAAATGAGCACAGTATTAGAATTATTTTTTTACAATCATTGTCTTGTGTTTTAAATTATATAGACATTAGTGAAGTATATTTATGTATATTTGCAATCATTTTTTATTTTGTTTTTAATTGACAAACTGGTTTAGCATTTACTAAAATTTTTTTGTATTTTTGTGTGACATTTATGGGAATGCAGCTTCCCAAAATGTCCCCAGAATGTTAACAAATATATCATTTGTGGATTTCATTTTATTCTGCTTTCAGTAAAATAATGAATAGCTTCAATCAAGTGTATTTCCTCTTTTCACAGTTCAATACGCCGTGAAGATTGTGATTGACAGGTATTGTAGTAGGTCTGAACAATACAAGATTCTTGGGGTCTTTTGCTGAATAAGAATTCTAGTAAAGGAAATACTATAGATACGACAGATCAAATAACATTGCATTACTTTAGGTAAAACACTAAATAGTCAACAAATCTATGTGGTCTTAATGGAAGGCTTACCATTTAATACACACAGCAAACCTAATACTTTAAAGGCATACAGTTGTTATTGTGACATAACTGTCAATGAAACAAAACGTGTTAAATCAATCATGAAAGCAATTGTCTTCAAAGTTCCTGGTGTCTTTAATGGTTATCCATCCATGCGGATCATTCGTTCAGAATCATCATCCTTCAGTCATATACATACACCTTGGGCCACTCAGTGTGGCTGAAGGATCCTGCCATACACTAAAGCTGTATCTCACATTCCCGGGTGGGGAACAAACCACCTATGCTGTTAAAGACTGAGCAATCTCTATCTGCTCATCCATTGTGAGTATATTTCTTTCTTTTATTTCTTTTATTAATACAGAGAGCACTATTCCTGTTCTTTTATATCCTCTGCATATCTCTGGAGCATCATCCTGAATACACCACGTGGATTATTGGCATAAGGATACGATATCAGAGGGAATCAGGACCATCCTGACATCCATAGACGGAGATTGTACCGTCCATACGCTGTGATCTGGAGCTGATCTTCAACTCCAGAAAAGTGTGAGTGCAATATTTTTCTTTGTATTTTGCCTCTGCTTTTATAGACATACTACACTATATTGTTTTCTCTTTTATATTGGCTCCATGGATTCCACACAAGGATTTTATTTGTTAAGCGCGGCTTCCCTACATTCCCAGTTTTATTTCATGGGTGTATTTATATTTCAATAGAGAGTCACATATGTATCGGCTTTTTATTTTGCTCTGTTAATGTGGTACATGAGTTATGCATTGCAATGAATAAATATTAATACATTTTTACATAATATACAAACATTACTTTATAATAATGTATGATAGCTGGCAGTGATCATCAAGCAACAGAAACACATACATTCAGGGAGATCTTCACCTCTCATATTGACATCTTAATGAAAGATCAGTACATACACACACACACATGCACAGACCTCAAGCACAGCTCGCATTTAATCTGCAAGAGGTTGTATTCAATAACAGTATGTGGGTTTCTGCCGCCCATTCCCAAACTCCATGAGGGAGACACAAGTCACTTAGGTACTTTACTGGGAAATGTTTATTAACAAGGAGTGCCTCTTCATGTGTCTTTTTCCTGTCCAGCTGTGTGTCCAAGGCCAGTTTAACATAGGGGCTAAGGCAGAAGTCATTAGGCTCTGCCCCTCATGAGCAGGGCTAGGCAGAAGAGCTGGAAGTAAATGTTTACATGCTGTTAAAGTATAATATTGCAGCATGTGTCCTCAAACAGCTTGTCAGCTTGTAACCTTTTGCTGCCAGCTCTGCCACCTGGGGCTGATCTTGAGGCCGAATAAGCATGGGTGTGGAGCCAAGCTATGCACACCTTGGCAATCCGCCACTTTGCTATCCCCCTCCCAGGATCAGCCCTAGACTAGGCAAACTGTAGATCAATGCCCGTGGAGTTGGATCCTTGTTTCAAAAAAAAAAAAGAAAAAGAAAAAGTGTATGTGTAGTCTTAAAATGCATTATCAAAGTGTGTCCCTCCAGCAACACTTCTACCAGATACAAGATAATTTGTGGTATGGGTATATGGCTGTTTTAGAGCTTTCTGTCCATAAAATTGTGTAATTAGGCCCATCATTTTCATCATTACCAAACCCAATAGGCTCTTAATCCAGCACTGTGTGCCACCATAAGGCCAGGAGATGGGGAAGCTCCTTATGAGACGTGCTCCTCATGCGTCCATACTATTAACTGTAATGTATAACATGAACAGCTTAATCATCCACAAACAATACACATTTATATCAAAGTGGTACAAATATTTCATGACTTTGCCATCATTAATTATGTTAGTTTTGCTTGCAACTACAGATGTGTATTCCACATGTAAGTGCTATTTTTTTTTCTTTTTTAAAAGGTCTACATTAATATTTTTGGTAGTGTTGTGAAAATCTTTTCAACAATCTGCACAATTTCCCTGGTCCTGAGACAATATATAATAGGACTAGCCATGTGTGGAATGTATGTGTAAAGGAAAAGAATCAATACACTCATATCGAGACTAAAGACTAAGTTGACCTGATAAGCTGTATAGATGAACATACGGGGGCCAAAGTACATAGCAATGATAAACAGATGTGTTGTACAAGTGTAGAATGTTTTTTGAAGGTTTTCACTTCGAACCGATGAATAAATTGTTACAATAATAATAATGTATGAAAAAATAATAAATGCCAGTGGGCAAAGCAGTATAGCCATTCCAACAGAGAATGATGTTTGTCTAAGTAGACTTATATCTCCGCATGCCAGAACCATGACAGCCATGTTGACACAGAAGCAATTGTTGATTTTTCTAGAGTGACAATATGGAAAACTTGAATGCCAGATTGCATTAATGGAAGCATATATGGAAGCAAGCATCCACAAAAGACTACACATATACATAGTAAGTTTGTTAGTCACAACAGAAGAATATCTGAGAGGCTTGCAAATTGCAACATAACGATCAGCCGCCATGAGCATGATGATAAAAGAGTCCACGGATCCCAAGTAGTGGACACAGAAGAGTTGAAACATGCATCCTGCAAAGGTTATAGATGCATCTCCAAACCAGTACTTGGCAATCATTTTAGGTAACGTTATTGAGTCAAACAGTAAGTCAGACAATGCAAGATTGGCGATGATTATATACATCGAGTGATGTAATTTCACATTCCACATTGTCAATGCAATAACAGTACAATTAGCAAACACTGCAACACAATACACAATGCACATTATTACAGAGACAAAAATATGATACTTCTGAGGAAGGCCTGGGAAACCAATGAGTTCAAATACGACAACCTCAGACTGGTTAGCCATTGGAAACAAAGTACAATCCTGCTTGGAAAAAAAGCATCTGATCAGTAACATGTCAAAGAAAATTAGTGGAGGTGCCATGTTACATATGTGGCTAATTACAATAAATTGTAATGGACTAAATTATACGTTCATTTATCAAAGTGTATGCAATTAAATTCTTTATGGTGTGTAAAGAAAAATAGACTGGTAAACTTATGAATCCCTACCCTTTATCTTTCTTGTCGGTTTCTTAACCACTGCCCGGTAAAAGTGACATACTGTATAAGCAATGTGCTCATTCCATACCTCCATTCCCCCTACAATACACATTACTCAAGCAGTACACTCACTGCAGCTTCCAACACTTACTATAACCGCTGCAGCTCCCCACACCTCCTATAACTCACACTGCCTGAGCAGCGCACTCACTGCAGCTCCCCACACCTCCTATATCCCACACTACCTGAACAGCATGCTCACTGCAGCTCCCCACACCTCCTATATCCCACACTACCTGAACAGCACACTCACTGCAGCTCCCCATACCTCCTATATCCCACACTACCTGAACAGCATGCTCACTGTAGCTCCTCACATCTCCTATAAGCCACACTACCTGAGCAGCACACTCACTGCAGTTCTCCACACCTCTTATAACCCACACTACCTGAGCAACACACTCACTGCAGTTTCCCACACCTCCTATAACCCACACTGCCCAAGCAGCATGTTCACTGCAGCTCCCCACACCTCCTATAACCCACACTACCTGAGCAGCACGCTCACTGCAGCTCCCCACACCTCCTATAACACACACTACCTGAGCAGCACACTCACTGCAGCTCCCCACATCTCCTATAACACACACTACCTGAGCAGCACACTCACTGCAGCTCCCCACACCTCCCATAACTCACACTACCTGAGCAGCATGCTCACTGTAGATCTCCACACCTCATATAACACGCACCCCTGAGCAGCACACTCACTACAGCTCCCCACACCTCCTATAACACACACTACTTGGGCAGCACATTCACTGCAGATCTCCACACCTATGCAGAACTCCACTACCTATGCAGCATGATCACTGCAACTCCCCACACCTCCTATAACACACACTACCTGAGCAGCACGCTCACTCTAGCTCCCCACACTTCCTATAACACACACTACCTGAGCAGCACACTCATTGCAGCTCCCCAAATTTCCTATAACCCACACTACCTGAGCAACACACTCACTCTAGCTCCACACACATCCTATAACACACACTATCTAAGCAGCTAACTCATTACAGCTCCCCAAATATCCTATAACCCACACCACATGAACAACACACTCATTACAGCTCCCCACACCTCATACAACTCACAATACCTGAGCAGCATACTAACTGCAGCTCCCCACACCTCCTATAACACACTACCTGAGCAGCACACTACCTGCAGCTTCCTACACCTCCTATAACCCACAAGGATTGCTAGAAGGATACCAAACTAAATGGAACATTGCAGCTTACAGATTTAATGCATTTCTATACAATTGAGGTGTTAAGGAATCTAGGTGCACTAACCTCTGAGATGGTTGGAAGGGGTTATCCAAACCCACATTAAAGGAAATAACAAGGAGATGGAGTCAGACTTCTCTGTAATCACTCACAAAGGAGAAGAGCACACATGGACCTTCACTGGGAAGGAGAGCCAAGATGGTCATAAACCAAGGATATTAAATGGAAAGATCTGTTAAATAACAAGGTATTTGTTTTAAAAACATAAGTATTAAGGTGTGCTCATGTAGCCAGTCAGGTTCCCAAGATTAATCAAACTCACCTATGGCCTCAATTTAATCTTCTAAAATAAGCTTCTTAGAGAATCACAATCTGGCCTCAATTTAAGAGGCTTTCTCAATGATTGAATATTTTTAGAAACATTTCCAAATTATTTGACTTTATTTCCCTTTGACTTTAAGGGAAATTTCTGTAAATAAATAATTTGAAAAGCTTGCGACCATTAAAAGTTCATCCAAAAATATTAAACTGAGGCCCTTGTCACATGTGTGGTACTTTTTAACAGAATAGATCACGATTATATCCTGCTAGAGCATTTATTACTTTGTAATTTTGCAAGTGGTATCTATACCTTTCGCGGATGATACACTTCTGCGTTCTTTTTACAAATCAGTAATTGTTTGAAATTTGGGATCAAATAGCCAATTCTCTATACGTGCAGATAGATTTGACACCATAAATATATTGCCCATGAGTGAGAGAATAGAAACAGGGGATCCATACAATTTAGGTGTTATTAAATATAGGTGCACTAACTCTGCTAACTCTGGGTCCCTTTAGTCTACCCTTTTCAATATTTTGGTACAAAATATGAGGTTTCAAGATATCAAGATCATAGTGGAATCTTGTATACGTAGAAAATAAACAAATATATATATTTATGCCCCCCAAAATATGTAATTTACAAATTGTTAAAAAAAGTGAAAAATACGAAAATAATTAAATTACTTACATTTTAAGCAATAATAATTGTTGTCCACACAAGTCACAATAAATTTTAATTTTATCAGTTCATCAGTTTCATTGTGTATGAGGTTTTAGGGCGATTAATTACCACAATTACACAAATAATGAGTGCAGTGTTACAAAAGAAAAAAAAACAGAAAAATTTAAATATATATATCTATAAATATATTTATTTATTTCATTTTCCTGGTTTTTTTTCTACGTATATAAGTCTATTGCAAAAAATACATATGATGACATTGTCCGCATTGTACAAAACTAACTGTGACAGATTCATCTGCATTGTTGGTTCGTCTGTTTCCCTTTTTGTTCGCGGAATTGCCTGTTCCTATAACCCCGTTCGTGTAGTTGCAAAATACCGATGGAAACTACCGAACGAACGACCACCCAGGAGAGGAGTGTGCTGCTGGTTAACCTTCTGGCCCCAATTAGAACGTTGTGGTTAACCGCAGACACCTCTCCATTCCATTCGTACGGGTGGTCGTCGTTCGCATGTCGACCACGAGGCAGCGGCCATTTTGGGACATACGAACACCGAGCGGTGTTCGGTACAAACTGTATGGAACTAAAAACGGACACTTAAACTACCGAACACCGCTGAAAAGCTGCTGCCTACCTTCCTTTTCGACAAGGCATGCGAACGTCGGTCGTTCGGGAGTTTTATTCATTCATATGGACTTTCGCCCCGACAGCCATCCCATGGAGTCATTCGTATACCGAAGGACTGGTGCAGGACTTTGACTCCATGGCGATTCGACTGGATACATCGGATCTGAGCGCTATTCGGTGAAAACATGCCCTCAGATCCAGGCTGTCTGGGGATACGTTACACGAACCATATGCATTCGGTATTTCTGTAGTTATGTATTTTAATGTCTTTTTGTTACTGTAATTTAAGATGGCGATGGTCTCTACCTTGGGAGATAATTAGGTTTCTTCCCCAATTATCTCCAAGGTAAAGAAGACGGAATTGTGGGCAAGATGGGAAGGGCTATTATTGAAGCCACTGCGATTGGCTACTGTCCAATATGTGTTACAGTCTTCCACAAGGTCCCCTCGGGGAGTGTCCACCTTGTGGAGACCTGCATAAATACCGGGCAGGTAGCCCCCATTAAACAGAACTTCATTTGACCCTCAAGACGGAGCTTGGTCTCGTTTGTGGGGGAATTATTACTGGGACAGCGCTTTCGTTATTTCTAGCTGTGGAAAGCGTTCGACTGTTTGGCTGATCGGGAGTTGCCGTGTTCGTGGACTTCGTTCGGGAGTTTAGCGATCGGCGGAATTTAAACTGCATTTCTGGAGAAAGGGGATTATTGCCTAAACGGCGGCTTCATCTACCCGACGGTTCGTGTCGTAACACTAACCTTTTCAAAACTATTACTTTGTGTACATCTGACATGCATAATTCCAGAGGCATTTAGACAAAAGAATGTCTGGAGCAAAAAGAAGAACCACAAGAATTTGGAGAAAATAATGTGCATACAATGCGGGCATGTAAACTGCTAACGGGTTTCTGAATGTCACTTTTCTTCAAACTATCTCTAGTACCCTTTCCTGTATCCCCATTTCGATGACACAAGAATGGAGCCATTCTTCAAGCCTCTTTGAACATTGACTCCTAACACCGGACATTACTCTATTAAGAATAAAATACACATTTTAACCCATCATTTAAGTAATAAAGTAATTTGAAGGACTTGCTACCTCTGACTTTACATTACGAAATTATTCTAATAAAATTAAACAATTTATTTAAGTAAGATACATTTAGCATTTTCTAGTTTAGTGCACATCCCCGGGGTCTATTCATTATCGATTTACTTTATTATGCAAATGTTATTGACCACTGAAAGGTTAAAAACTGAATGGTAATCTGAGCCAACCTGACCATTAAACGTTATAATTAGTAGTAATCTAATTTCTGATGTATTGAAGTTTGTTCAATAAACTAGGAATTATGCAGAATTCATAAAGAAATTATACATTTCAAACTAGGGCCGGATTTAATATTTTTGGAGAAGCTATTTTTGGATAACACAAAGTTAGCATTTATTAATTATAGAAAAAACTGATTGAGGAAGATAGACAGTTCTATAAGATTAGAGGCAAAGAAAGAGGCTAAACAAGTTATAAGAGCTTCCAAATCACACACAGAAGAGAAAATAGCACAGTCAGTAAAAAAAGGAGGATAAAACACGTTTTAGAAACAAAAATGAGAAAAGGAAAGTAAAACAAGGATTAGTTAGATTAAAAAGAAAAGAAGGAAGGTATGTAGAGGATAAAGGTCTAGCTGTATTTACAGATTAAAATGAAGAAAAGGGTCCAAAAAGGACAAATTAGTAATTTCTTACATGTGAGTTTAAAGAGAAAGGTTTTATTTAAGTTGTCTAAAGTAAACACAGAGAAGTCGATGGTGCCTGGTGGAATACACTCAAAGTTATTAAAAGATCTTAGTGGTGTATTAGCAAAACATAGTAACATAGAATGTGACGGCAGATAAGAACCATTCGGCCCATCTAGTCTAATTTTTTAAAATACTTTCATTAGTCCCTGGCCTTATCTTATAGTTAGGATAGCCTTATGCATATCCCACGCATACTTAAACTCCTTTACTGTGTCAACCTCTACCATTTCAGCTGGAAGGCTATTCAATGCATCCACTACCTCTCAGTAAACCATTAACATATTTATTTAACCAATCATTGTTTACAGGAGTAGTCCCAGAATATTGGAAATTAGCAAATGTTGTGCCTATTCACAAGAAAGGTAGTAGGGAGGAGTTGGGCAACTATAGGCCAGTAAGCCTTACTTCAGTAGTGGGGAAAGTGATGGAAACCATATGAAAGGATAGGATTGATGAACATCTAAAAACACATGGATTTCAAGATCAGAGACAACATGGGTTTACTTCAGGGAGATCATGCCAAACTAATTTTATTGATTTTTTTGATTGGGTAAGTAAGATAATAGATCACGGTGGTGCAGGAGACATTGCTTACCTAGATTTCAGTAAGAGTAAGACTTTTGCATATGGAAGGCTTATCAAAAAACAGCAATCCTTGAGTTTGGATTGCAATATTGTTGAATGGGTTAGCCTGAGTGACAGGCAACAGAGGGTTCTAGTCAATGGAGTAAATTCGAAGCTTGGGCTTGTCACCAGTGGGGTACCTCAGGGATCTGTACTTGGACCCATTCTCTCCATTATTTTTATTAGTAATATTGAAGATGGTCTTCATGGTAAGGTATGTCTTTTTGATGATACAAAGATTTGCAACAGGGTTGATGTTACAGGAGGGATAAGCCAAATGGCAAAATGCTTTAAGTAAACTAGAAAAATGGTCAGAGTTGTAACAACTAACATTTAATGTGGAAAAGTGCAAGATATAAATATACTTGGTTGTATAGGGAGAGTTATTAGCACTGCAGTAGAAATAGGGAAG